TTTGGATTTTATCTTGATTTATAAATTAAATGAGAACATTAAATAAGTAAATTTTGAATTAAATAGTTTTAAAAGCAGCGTGCGAATAGGGATGTGACTTACGTGAATTGAGTAGAGGTTTTATTGGTTTCGTTATTTTGAAATTATATAAAAATTAAAAAAAAAGATAAATGATAAATTCAATTGAGGGTATTATTTTCTATATGAATTTTATTTGAACTACATTTTTAAAAATCCAGAAGATATGCTTTAGAGGTATTGCATATGCACATCATCTGTGTTCATACGTATTATTTTATTTGTTAGTTTCTTTCGATTACAGTTTATTGAAAACCTTTCTAAGTCTCTCCACTTCCTTTTATCACCGGCAGTGTTATATATTGATGAAAACGCCCAGCTGACGACAAATTGACTTTTAAACTGTTTCCGATGTGAGTCCATTGTCGCTGTGTGTTCATTAATCTTAATTTCTCTTCCGTATATAAAAACTTTTTGCTATCTTTATTGATTCAGTCTACACTATCTATCATTTTAAATTCGAAATCTCTTGCAATTCTATCAATAGTTTGTACTTGAATATTAAATATTTTAACACACCCTTTGTGTACTTAGTGTTCTAAATCTAAGAATCATTGGTGATTAATGGTCGTCTCTAGATGTGACGATAAATTTATAGTGTGTAGAAATCACGTATATAATACATATATTAAGTATTGTATCGATACCTAAACTTCTTTTAGATAGTATGTTTTCGATATAAATCTTACGATATGTTTTAAAGTTGTAAAAGATTGTTATAGTTTCCCTGCCCTAGATATCGATAAAATTGCAAATACTTATCTATATCGAAGTAGTCGGTCCAACACTAGTTGTAATGCTTGGCGGCTCGCTGCAGATGATTGATGCATTTGCACGTAATTCGCGGGAAATGCGTGTGTCCAACATCTGTATACTCTCACTAACATTATCCATATGTTATTCTTTTATACCTCTTTTACTTTCCTTTGCATTCTTTTCATTGTATTGATGTTTATCTCGTATCTCCCGTTATCTATATGTTAAATGAGTTGTGAATTTTTGTTTGCAATGGTCACTTGACTATTTTTTTTAATTACAATAAACGACATCGATAAACGACATCTATAGCCTCTTGGTCCCTACTTTTTTTGCACATATTCCTTATACAAAAAGATTATAGTGATTTTTACAGTATATTTTTTTTTAATTTACAAAAACTTGAGGTCATAGAGAGCCTTACAGGACGTCGCAATTTAGCAATATTACGTTGGTCGATTGCTCCTTTGCGAAATTAAAAAAAAATGGTAGTATAATAAACTCATGTTAATTTAATTAATTTTCTATTTTCATAATGCATGAAAAGCTCTGAATGTAAAGAATTTTAGTTTAGCAGGGCTTGGGTAATGACACAATGTTTTTGCATCGTGCTCATTTCGTCACACGTCAGTGTGTCATTGTGTGTCATAGACTGTGAAGAATGCGGCGCGTGGCTGCACTCGTGGGCGTCTTTGTTGCGACTGCTGCTTGATCAAGTATTAATTTGATACCCAAATCTAGGCGACGTTGTTAATTTTAATGATTTGAATCGTTAATTGTAATCATTATCGCCTTCTCATATCATTAATGTTAAGTCGAAGGCTTATAGTGAGAACATAGTTTAAGAAAACAAATGTGGGCGAAAACAATTTGTTATTCGTTTTAATACAGTGTCGTTCTTATGATTTTTATAATAATTAGGATTAGTTTGCTTTTTGATAGCGACATTGATCGAGAAATTGAGAAGTAAAAGATTAGCGTGGTTTGGACATGCTTTGCGGAGAGATGATGATGATATAATCAAAAAAGTAATGAGTTTGAATGTGGATGGCTACAAAGATAGAGGAAGGCCAAAAAAAAATATGGAATGACTGTGTGAAAGAGGATTTGCGTAGGAAGGTGGTAGATTCGGATATGACGGCTAATAGAGATGTATGGAGGAGTAGTACATACTGTGCCGACCCCCGATAGGGATAAGGGCAGGTTGATGATGATGAGGATTAGTTTGCTTTACCATTGAAGTTGGTATTTCATTGGATTTAGGACGTATATTGGTGACTATGACCTTTGTATTGTCATCTTCATTTATGTCAAAATTAATATGAGATTTTTGGTGTACTTTATGCCCGTTTGGAGCGATGCATAAATTTTGTCGATGACGATACGATGGCGATTGTGATAAATATTCGAGTTGGTCCACTGTTGTAGATAATTAAACATGATTCTTTTAATATTTTGATACAAAATAATGTAATTTATGTATATTACCATAAGGTTTTAAGATATGGCTGCACTCAATCGACTGGGAGGTATAGAAATTGATCGTGAGTAAAAGTTACAATTTAAAAGGTTCTCTCAGAGAGTGTCATTATTCAAACAGATAGAATTGATCGGCTGCCGAAGATTAAACATTAACTTGTAATATATTACTCTAATATTCAGCAATGTACAAGCATTTAGCTTATAAATATTTTTATCACTTTTAAACCATGATTATTTTATTTTCGCGTACAGTTAGATAAATAACATCCTTTCGATTGGTTTTAAATAAACGGACACTTGCATAAATTTAACACAACTGTCTCATGTCGTTTAAGCATTTATTATTGCAGTTAATTTTGATTTATGTTCATCTCAATATGCTTATTTCGCAAGTATAATATGATTATGTTTTTTGCTTGAGTCGTTAGTTAAATTAACTGTAACCTAAAATGCGCATGAGTTATTGAAAATCTTCTCTTTATCGACATGAAATAAATTCTTTGTTTTTTTGATTTCATCTTATTGAGAAAGTAAATATATTTTTAAGCATATGCAGACCACAAATGCAGGATTACTATGTATTCTTCCAAAAAAATAATGGATTTTATGTACAATGTACAAAATGATTACGATTTTCTTTCTGAAAATGAACATATCTTTTTTTTACATTTGTTGGTAAACATTCATAACAATTAGTGTAAGAAGACATGAAAATTTATAGATGGAAATATTAGTAAAATACTTAACTCACTCTCCGTTATGTTTGAAGTTTTGTAAAATATGTAAATGTGTTAAAATTTATGTTTAAAGTTATATGTCGTTAGTTACCATGTCGAACAACTGTGCACTGCACTTGTGCAGTTAATGTGTTTGCGTTAACTGTTCGATAGTCATTAACATAGTGCGTAACGTCTAATTACGTTCCGTTAGGAGACATCTCTGGGAATCCACCACAATCGACTCGGCCAACGGTTTATAATGCAACGGGTACTAAAGGTCCCACGAGTTGTATATCTTTTATCTGACTGGAGTAAAGAAACAAAACTCTATCTGTAATCTTGAAGTTCCCTTCTCCGTGACACTTATAATGGCAACCATGTTGTCTCTTTTGTTTTTTGAGAGGCTGAGAGGGATAACATGATTTCATCCATGATACGATCACCAACATTATCGCCTCGTATGTTTAAACGTAGCGACGATAGAATTTGATGTATGTTGCAAAATAGTGTTGGCTTAGTAAATACAAAGTACCAGGCGATCATGACTAAGTTAGAGTACAGCTAGTCATAGTCGATTAGGCAATTTGCAGCCAATAGGAAGACGGACGCGCGGCGCGTTGACGCCGGCGCCTACTACGTGTCCATTGTTGTACGACATTCGCACACTGACCATTGTACACGCATTGTTTACAATATCTCAAACAGTATTACAAAATAAGAAATTGTTTTCATCTTATTGATTTTGAGGGAAGTGGTCTAAATCTGACAGGTCAAGACTAATAGAAGTCGAGAGGTCAAATTTTAGCCTTAATAGTCAACGTCTTTCCAACATTTTTTTAACAGGAATTTATGGCAAGGGGTGTCGCTTGGTCGTGAGGGAAGTTTCAAGAAGGGATGTCTTTGGCCAGCGGTCACTTCGCAATTTGAGCTAAATCAAGTGGCCGCTTGCTCGTTGTCACTTCTTGATATAAAACAAGTAAAATGGAATAATTTGAAAGTTAATTGATATTCTTTTTGCGTTGATACATGCTGTAAGGATAGTTGAATAGTTGAGACAATGTTGTAAGTTCATTGGCAGTGGTGTGTTGGTTGCGCGATCGGCACGCGATACGACATAGTGTATATGCGCGGGTAATCCGTGACCAATGTCAAGTATGAAGTTAACGCCCCCTATTGATCGATCGTGTAAATGTGCGCTTGCGCAATCACATTTCGTTATTCTGCGTGCACTAATAGGGTTACCACAAAAAACAAAACCCTGTTAAGTACCAAAGTCGATGTTCTTCTGCATATTTAGAAAAAGTAACAAATTTTAAACACGTTTTTAAATGTTACTCTCTATAAATAAATTACATTAAACTGAACGGTTGGATAACTCTATTTTCCTATTTTATGGGTTGAATGTTGTTTTCAGGTAAAAAAATATGCGTTTAGAATAATTGGACATCGTTCTAGGAAACGTCAGTAACATGGTAACCCTACAGTAGTGTCAATAAAGTGTAACTAATCGTGATCGAAGAGCTTTGCAATACGAAGTGGTCCACACGTGGCTCTCAAGGTCTTCGTCAGTTTGTACGTTCATATTACGATATTAACTGTAATTTCACTCGGTTTCTATTCATTACTTTGCCAGCGAAATATGAACAAATTAAATTAGCATGTTAATTACTGTCTGGTAAAAATTTCCAAGTTGTAACGTAAGCACTGTGGTAGACAGACTTTCATTCTAATGTTTTATAACTCCCAAGCAAAGAAACTAAATAATTATAATAAACCAAAACATTAATTAAACTTAATTTAGTGGGTTAGTGTGTATGTATCTCCATCATAACCGTCTTTACCCTCAATGTTGTGACAGATTTTGAAGAGAGGAGGGTCGTCCGATACATTTTGTTTCCTGGATTGTGTCCGGGGTGATTATTGACTTTTTGAGTGAATTACCAATATGTTTGTTATGTGTTTCAGAGGAGGAAGAGGAGTGCGGCATGTCGGAGGGGTCGGAGACGTCGGAGAGTGGACGCGCCGACACTGATGACGAGGGCATCGAGCGCGACGCTGACCCTGCTCCTCGCCGCACCACTCACTGCCGCCGGTTCATGCTCAAAGATGTTATTGAGGTGAGCACCACAAACTATCAGATCAGTGGTTGAATGCATGATGTCAGGTCGAAAGTCATGGATTTCGACATTTCAACCATGATGTTGTCCAATGTTTTGTCTCCTGTAAATATCCCTTGGTTACGATCTCAGACCTTTTTGAAGTTTAGACGCATAGTCGCCATATCCCGAATAGATGATTAAGACCTAAGTGAGTCCCTTAGTGTAGATTTCTAAAACTAATCATGGTAAGGGGAACCACTTATCGGCAGGAAGTCCTACATTTACAAAACTTGGGTGTTCTAGATTCACATTTGACACACAGATTTCGTTAAGTTCTTGGTCATGTAAAGCTTTTTATTTTTAATCATCCTACACAATGTTGATTAACATAAAGCTAATCAGGTCACGTACATAGGAAGAGTTTCTAGATATATCCATGGTCGATAAACATTTTAATAGCCCTAACTTTTACTAATACTGTGCACCTTCTTATCTCCGGAGATGTGTAACATCGATTATTCAATTTATAGTCCATGTTGTGTAGAATGGTGTTTTTTTTAGCTGTATTTATAGTTCAAAACATTCTTGTTGATATATATATTATAAGTTAGGTTTACACGCACAGAGAAATTTTAAATACTATGAAAAAAAAATTGGTACAATTTGGTGGTTCCAAATATGCCTCTATCTTCGAAAATGATTTAACCAAAGAAATGAATTTCGTATGAGATTTTTAGCGAACAGTTTTACGTAATATCTTAATGCGGTTTATTCGAATGGCTTTAATGCTTAAAATAATGTTTTTAAATTATTCCATAAGAAGCCATTCTAAAAATTTGGATTTACATAGTTATATTGTTAAAAGACCAGGTTATGTTATTGTTCAATATATTTAGCTACTTTAACGTGCATGTAAACCCGCTCTAAATTACTCTTCAATATGACGTTACGTTGCGTCACGCGCGACCATCGTGACGTGGACTTTCACTGGCGTCAGATTAGCCGCCTCGGGTCGTACTCCCGATGGACTTGTTAAGTGAATCTATATTATTATGTGTATTTAAATGTAAAGATAAGAGATCAGTAGAGTGCATTTCCATGCATTTCGGTCTCTAATGCCAAGTAATTTGTTCTCAACGTTTCATCGCTTGCGCAATGCAAGACTTAAATATTGTACGTCGATTATGGTGGCCATGTTTCTTTTGAAATATTTAATGTATCATAGATATTGTTGACATTAAAATGAGAATGTTTTTATGTAATCATCATCTTAAAAGTCTGCATTTTAAATAATTGCATCTTTAGAAAGTAACTATTAAGTGCACAGATAAGTTGCGTAGGACTTTAGAATTCTTCCTAACCCGAACATGCATTGCACGGTGTCGTCTCTGAGGAGCGCCTACGGGTGCAGCGGCCCATTGGGGGCGCATTGAGGAGCCCTATTCTCGGGCTGGTCAGTGGGGCGTCGCGGTGATAAGTTAAGACGATCCCGTGGCGTCCCACATTATGGCTATGAGAGGACAGAGGGTTTTAGTGGGTATGCTCCCATTCGGGGAGAGAATCCCTATAACTACCGTGCCTTCCCCGAGGCACGGAGTATGCCTAAAGCATTCCCCTCTGAAAAAAAAGGACTTTAGAATTCTTAAATAGACCTTTTTTATATCAGTAAATCTATTATTTCCAGGTTAAAAGAAAATAATATTGCTCATTCTAAGGCTTAGTTCCGTTGAAAGCTTTAAGCAAAATAAAAAAAAAAACATTTTTCCTCTGTGTTAACTAGAAATAAATTCAGTTTACTCATGGAAAATATACTCCAATTCAAGCAACGAACAAGTCATCTATATCACTTTCTTTCCAATAAACATTACATCCCACACACGTTCTTTAGCAGTCGATTTAATGACTGATTAATAAATAAAAGTGTTATCTTCAATAAATATATCGTCATTATTGAAACTAGTTTTCTTAGAATTTAAAATCTCGATTTGTTTTTTTAACAAATATAAGTACGATATAAAGAATTAAATTAGCTATATTTATATCGTTAAGACAATACTTTTAAGGCAATGAGATTGATTGATTACGTTAATTTGCATTGCTTGGATGTTGATACATTTGTTTGACTTTGTACTTATTTTGCATATTTAAAAGCGCAATGAATTAGTTTATCAATAGCCTTTCGTTTGTTTCTATTGCACAATTATTTATATTAATTGTTCCGATGATATGGTTATTTAATTTATTTAACTTTATCTACATCAAACATTAAAATTACAATAACGTCGACTATATTTCTTTAAAATTAATATAAAAGTACGTTAATTTTAAAACGATTTTAGATCTACAGAAATATACTCTGTCGTTTTCTTTTACTTAATGATCTTTTATTATCTGTTCACCAAATTGTTTTGACATATAATGTGGGTGGATTTAAAATAGCATAATAAATGCATGGTGACATGCATTCGATTTTGATTTGTGTTTTGTGATATATCTTCCTGTTGAAATGTTTTATTTCTTGTGTTTGCTTTCATTTATTTCATTTTTAACTATTTTACGTGTTGTTTTTGAGAGGATAAGTGTTTCTATAAACGATTCTGGTAGTCGTCAAAAAGCTCTCAGTTTTTATTTCGCATTACGTTCGTGTGTCAATCGATCTTCGACGTACGCCTTGACAAATGTAAGTAGAATATTAATTAGGTATTATCATCTCTTTAAGATGATTTAATACTTACGAACAGCCCTAAGCAATACAAAAATAACAACCTAAAATAATTGTGCCGGTCTAAAGCAAGGTATTATTTATATATTTCTTTTAACTAATATTATAAATGCGAAAGTTTTTGATGAACGGATTAATGGATATTTGTTAGTAGGTATCTCCCGAAGGGCTCAACGGATCTTGATGAAATTTAGCACAGATGTAGAACATAGTTTAGAAGAACGTATAGGCTACTTTTTTATTTTTTTTTAATTCCGCGTGGACAAAGTTGCGGGCGATAGTTACTACTATCCAAATACTCAATTAAATTTGTACAGATGTTTAATGAAATATTAATTTCGATACTCTGCTATTTTGTACTGCAAATATTGAAAATTAATAGTCGACATTAATCGTGGTACACGAACATTTGCCCTATTTTATCTTTACAGTAAGATATAAATAGCCTCAAAGGTCGGGTAGATTTTGTACGCTTTTCACCGCAATATGCGTACATGATATGGGTCATATCGCGCGGTCCGCATTAATATTACACTAAAGGTTAACCCTGTCTTAAACAAATTGCTACGGTTGTATTTTAAACTTACGTGTTTGAATGCTACTTGTGCTGATATTTACTATTTACAATCCTATTTAGTATTATTCCTTTCCAGTAAATGTTATTCAGATCACAGTTCAATATAAAACTCAAACCTTTGAATAGCTTGTATAGAAAATTGTGCAAATCCAGCTTAACCTAGAAATGTGGCCTACATTTATGTTGTTTTAAGGGTTCACACGTCGTTAGCATATGAAAATATACCACAAGCTCATTGTAACTTAATAGAACAGTATATTTTTATAAAATTGACAGATAAGATATATTTGCGTAAACATGATTAGCATATTTTCAATACAAAGGACGTTTTTAATTTTTAAAAATAGCATTATCTTATCTGTGCAGATGTTTAGTGTCGGTTAATGTCAAATAATTGAGCTGACGTCAATGAGAAAGCGTATTGCACTTGGTAGTATATGTACTGGTTAGGTTTTAAAAAGTCTGTACTGATCAAGATGTTGTAGAAAGGCACAGCATCTCTCTACAATGGTTGGTGACTCGCCTTGTTTGTCACTATTATGCTATAGTTTGCTAAAAACATCAGATGTACATACAATCATAATTATCTGCTGCCTTGCCTGGAAAATTGCGGCTCTCTGAACTTTAATGCATGGATGTACCTCTCTCAATTTAGACCAATATTCTCCTCCACCTTGCATAGAGTTGGTTTCCTTTATGCCTATCTGTTGTCATATTATTGTCCTAACTTAGCTTTCTTTGTGTGCAGCGCTGCGTGTGGCATTGCGGCGGCGTGGGGCGCGGCGCACGCGAGGCGGCTGGTGCGCACTACCGCGCCGTGTGCCGCGCGCTGCTCTCCGAGGCGCTTGAGCTGGCCTCATTCCTGGCGCGCGTGCGAGTCGGCGGCGCGCGCAATATGGGCGCCGCGGAGGACTCAGCAACCCATCTTGATACGTTGCACTTCTCAGATTGGGTACGTTAGGGTTTCAACTATACCTGCTACTGGGATTCACCATCTCACTGTCCTTATCCCGGTCATGTGGGGTCGAGGCTTATTCATCCACCAGATCTTATTTTCCAAATTTAAAGGATGTTAAATCAAAACGGTTGTAAGGCAGTGTACCTTAGGTTTGAGACACATATAAAACACTGAGAAACACTGTCCTGGATTGAATGGTTGTTGTCCGGGAATCCATAATTCGACTTTTTGAGACTACAGAGCGCCCTCGATTTCGCTGGCGCAGATTTAAAACTCTTAGGCGCCTTAAACTTCCCGTGAATGTCCTTTAACTTACGATTAAAGATAACCAGGAACAAATGTAGACATGCGAACAGACCGACAAATGTTTACGAAATATGTATTTTTTTCGATATTACAAATAGACACTCCAATTTTATTACTATATATCGTAACTAGATTCCCAGGAATTCTGTCCTGAACGACAAGTTACGTGATACATTTACTTATGGAGTGTTATGGATTATCAAATAGCTGGAATTATACATGTAGTTGTAGATGTTTGGTTGAGTTTCACAAAGATTATAGTTTAGATAAATATAAATATAGGAAATGACATATTAAATACGCTAATCGCCTGTGATATAACGTAGTGTAAGCTAAGCTAAGACGTAATTTATTCTAACTGCTGTACAAATTTAGTGAGTGATATAACTAAGCTTCGGTATACATCGTCGTTTTCCAATTAGTTTGTGTGTTGTAAGAGGTGATGTAAATGAACAACTTGACTTCTTTCTGGTCTTAAAGATAATTTCGAGAATAGTAGTCGATTAATGTTTAAAGTTATATTAAAGTATAATATTAATAGTTTGAATAAAACTTTCTCCAATTTCAATAGGATATTTCTGCGCTAATTTCATTAAAATTCTCCAATTAAGTCGGGAAAATTTTCGGGCGTTCGAGCAATAAAGGGGAATGATTTGATTGTTTGATTTGAATAGGCACCGAAACTACGGAACCGATTTGAAAAATTCTTCCACGGGTTGGCAGCTACACTCTCCCTAGATGACGTAGATTATATATAATACTTGATTTTTTAAATTTCGCGCGGACCACGTAGCAAGGCAACTATTTTAACAATGGGTTGTGTTAAATCTCAAATTGACATGTCATTACATGTCTCAAGTTCAAAGCCCTGCAATGCAAATCCTCATCGATTTGTATTCAAGGACGAAAAAAACGTTTTGTACCAAACGCTTTACAATGTCGCAAATTTAAACTATATAACGCGTACTGCATATTTCTTTTCAAATTGTTTAAACACTGCAGAGGAAAACAAACTTTAGTACCTTAACATACGGTACACTATTCGTAAACAACTATAAAATATTTGTAAGTTGTTTAAATTCAGTGAGGTAATAGGTTATGAAAAGCGCGCGAATGCGTGCGTTGTAATGAACCATGTAATATTAATGGCGGACAATGATCTAGGAATCCAGTGGTGAATTAATTGCAAATGGCCAACCGTGTGAACACAGGAGTCACCTGGTGGACGCTAATGGACATTCCTTGTACGCAAATATTTATTTTAGGTTAGTTTAGATGTTTTCCGGACGATTACAAACGCTTAAAGAGGACTACTTCATTGCGATGGAATACTTTTTGAGGTTCGCACTATTAAAGATATTAAACTTGTTCTTGACATTGTTATAAAATTACGATTTTAGCAATGAAATAATCATCGTCTGGTGACTGAAAATTAATTTATATAATGACCAGGATAAGCATATCAGCAATTATTGACCATTTCATATAATTTATTAAATAAAATCAAAATTATTTTTTAAACCATTTATACTGATATTTCGTTGAATCACAGCCAACGTGTGAAATAAAACAGGACATTAAAATGTCACTGAACATTATTTACGGTCTAAAATAGTTGACATTTTATGCAGCGGTAGACCGTGACCTCTTTTACTGAAATTAAAGTAGGTTTAACTTTGCTGACCCTTTCAATACTTTCTTTAAAGTAAGACTTTAAAGGCGCAGTAAATATTCACTTACAGTTTTTTTACGTGATGTTACAAATAAGATAAATCTAATTTTATTCATTTGTGTCTTCTTTGGATTTGTAACAAAAAAATAAATATAACAAAATGTTTAATCAAAATTACTATAAACTGATCCATGCTTTAAAATAATTCACATTTAATCTCCTTTATAGTCAAACCGAAGGATTTGGAGAGCTTTGCAAGTATGTACTGACAGTGCTGGAAAGAACGTTGCTTCAAACAAAATCAACTATCATAATTGTTATTTTTTTATATTTCTTTACTGTCGTGCCTTTTAATATGCATGTTCAATTCAGTTTGAAATGTTATTGCTGTAACCATATTCTTTTGTTCATATTTTAGTGTTGTTTATTGATAGCGCCTGGCTTAATTTTATAGCAAACATCAGTGACAGGTTGTTGCTATTTATATTTTACAGGCGCGTTTCTGGATGCAAGTGATTGGAGAGTTGCGGATGGGTGTGAAACTGAAGAAGGTGAACTATTCTAGGACCCCCATCGAGTACGAGCTGACACCGTACGAAATTCTAATGGATGACATCAGGTCAAGAAGGTATACTTTAAGAAAAGTGGACGGATCAATACCTCAGAGGTAAAACCAACAATTCAATAATTACTGTAATGTAATTTCTGGTGAAAAATAATCTGTTAGGTAGAAATAATAGCAATTTCCTTTTTTCAACAGTGTGAAGAAGGACGCTCATGCTATGATTCTCGAATTTATTAGAAGTAGGCCGCCACTCAGAAAGGTAAGGAAATATTATTTAGTACTACAAACACTCGACAGAAATAGTACAAGTTGTGCACCTCAATTCTTCTATAGTAAAGACAATCCAAAATGGAAAGCCAAGACAGAGGAGTATGACAATAGTCGAATGGTGGACTTTTTATCTTTATTTGGTCAGTTCGATCTTCAAATTTCTAATAACGCTTATCGATATCAACTGATAATTATTGTCATTTAATTTGTGTGTTGTCAGGCCTCGGAACGTAAATTACCGCCGCCCCGACGGGAAAGCACGCCGCGGGAGCAGCTGCTAGCTTCCATCCAGCGCGGCCGTCCGCTCAGACCCACGCCATACTCGCGCACATACAGTAAGTACATACTATTGCTTAATACATGAACCATTCTAATGCTATCTTGCCACTGATCTTTATAAATGGTTAGGCAATTACTTGAAAATGACAGTTTTTGCTTTGTTCCAATAAGTGCCTCTTCATGTTACTTTATAGTTAATTCTATCTATATTATTAGTTCGAATCCACATCACCTCTACCATCAATGCAAAAAGACGAAAATGAAATAGGCACAAAATACAATGCCTTATAGCCAGTGCATTTATAGAGGTGAGATGGTAACTATCATCTCTTTGGTAAATGTATTACAGCGCCATCTATTGTCCGTAAAATACGATTTATAATTTCTACATAAACATGTAGAATAAACATACAAACGTATAGAGGGCACTCGTGTCTCATTTAATGAATCAAAATTTTTATCCCACGATATGAAATACCGGTAAAGGTTGTAAAGTCATCCGGTATATTTATCATAGAAATTATATGAATTTGCTTGTTATTACTTATAGAACGATTAGATTCCCACAAAGTTATGTCAATGGTGGATATCCGTTTTATAACTTGATAGAACAGATGTGAAAGTTTCATCATTATTGCTTAGTTTAATTAATAAATAATCTGTGTATTTAAAATACAATACGAAATAATATAAAAATACTGGCGCCATAGATTAATTAAAAGAGATGAAAACCAAATGCGTAGCAACAGTTTTAAAAAGAAAAACTAACTTTTAAATCCTTGTTCCAGAATTCTAATCTTTACCCGGAGTCCCCTATCCTGTGTCCTCTTTTCCTTTGAGAAGAATTTACCTCAGTGTTTATATACATTTTGCTTATTTATTTTCTGTAGTTTAAGAACAATGATTATTTATTATGAAATATTGAAGCGGCGAAGAAGACAAACTAAACTATAAATTATGATTTTTATATAAAAATATAATCAAAAATTTTCATTAGTCACTTATGAACTCCTATAGATAATTTCTTATGTACGCGTTTTTAAATTACGTATTTCTGTCTACGAAATAATATTCAAATAAAAATGTTAGTGTTCTATTCAATATTTACAAAAGTTCAATATTCAGTCTAGTTTAAGACAAATAATGTTCTTGATCTTTCTGATAATAAAAACTTATTACTCCTGACTTTATTTTCTTATGCTTAAATATACTTAATTATGTGATCGTAATCTACAAATATTTTCAAATAAGTGTCTAATCATTGCATACGATGGTCGAGTCTCGTTTTGAGTAAAATGGCAAAAAATCTTTTTGTGTTTTTCGAACATTTCTAAGCAAAATCTTTGTAACTTTTAAATATCTTCTTTAAATCACGAGATATTAAATAAAATCTTAGTATAACAAACTTCAATGTAATATGGAGATTTTTTAAAATCGCATATTCCGTGTTATGCGTAGGTGTCGATATGGTGTCCTAAATCATATACTGGTACATTTATTACCCCATTGTGTGCGTTTCGAAACTAGATCGTGCGGTGCTTGAATGCCTTATGTCGTAACAAGTCTTTAAGGACGAAGATAGCTTGAACTATTACAAAATACTTCCAATACTATGTATTACGTATACAATAGACACAAAACTCTATGTTATAATCGAGGTTCAGGCTAAGCGTCATCAGCGCTTGGCCACCTCAAGCCCTGTGAAGCTGTAAATGCCTCTTCAAAGCAGTGACTAACCAGTCACAAAAAAAAACTGCGTTCTAAATATACTTACTATATTTCGTCATGTGAAAGAGATGGATCTTTTTTCCTATCTTTCCTTTTCTCTTCTTTTATCTTTTCTTATCTTATAATAATCTTGCTAGTAAATAATGAGAGACAATATTTGATGAGCAGACAGTATGCACGGGAAAAGATAAAACAGTTGAATTTATAACAAGATGGACATGTTTACAATTAACGCGTAAAGTACGCCGTCGTTTGTTTAATTTAATACACAATTTAAACACGAATATATATAACAAAATTTATGCAACGTTTATTGTATACTAGTGGTCGCTAGCGACTTTGTCAGCGCGCAATTAAAAAAACATGATGTTTCCACATTCATCAGCTACCTTTCAGTGTAATTTAATTTTGGAGGTTACTCAGACCAAACGCGGATTTGCGGACAGAGATACAGAAAAAATATTAATGATCGGTTTTTAGCTAAGCAACGCATATACATGATGTGAACGATTTTTTTTCGTTATTGCATATCGACACTCCAATTGTACAGATATTTACTATATGTAGGTGTAGGAAAAAATTATATCAGATGGTAATAAAGTAGTTTTCAAGTGATTTCTGATAACAACTTATTGGATAGGTGCTTGAATGATGAACTCATTTTAATTAAATAAGAGGCAATATAGATAGTCAGATTGTAATAGTTATTCTGATTAAGTTTACTCGTATAATATTATTTCAAAACATATTATGAATGTGTAGAAAGTTTTGGTTCATGCTATTGTTAGGAAGAAAATCTGAAAATGGTAGTGTATTGACTCAACACTACTTCTTCTAACTCTGCAGCACTTTGTGGGCCTTCGCTTGGTCCAGCAACTTTTTCCACTTCGGTCTATCTCTGGCCACGGACTTCCAATTTGCTATGCTCACTTTTTTGCGTCTTTATTTACGCCTTCTATCCATGGGAGCTTTGGTCTCCCTTGACTTCGATGACCTGCAGGATTACTCGCCATAACATTCTTAGGGACTCTGGCTTCATCCATCCGCTCCACGTGGCCGGCTCATCTAAGCCTGTTCAATTTGAAGTGTTCCGCAACGAGCAGCTCCTGGAACAAGTCGTTTGACTCAACACTAGCCTTACTAAAATGAAGACGTTTGTGTCCCCTCACTATTCACTCTGACACTGGACTTTGTAACGAAAGCACGTCATTCGCGCCATAAGATTCTAACTAATACTGTCTAAAACTATATAGTTCTTCTTAATTCCTAAAAACAAATAGTATGGTTTAGATGAATCCATATTTGAATATGGTATCAATTGTCACGTCAAAAACTTGCTTAATATATGCTAAATGTTTTTCTTATATAGGTGTAGAAGGTTTTTTATATATTTTCAAAGTATAGCATCATACTATGATTAGAAAGGACAACGCATCTATGTATTTATTCTTTTAACCGCAATGTATTTTTAAAATATGAAAAAAAAAACAAAAGTTGTAGTTTTCTATGAAAACCAAATGGTGCTAAGTGCAAGTTCGCGTTTGTTCCGGATAATCTCCGAAACGGTATCCGGACTTTTACTGGAAGGCAGCTGATGCATGCGGGAGTAACATAGGCTACTTTTTATAATTTCGCGTCGAAAGGGCTACAGCTAGTGCCTAATACAATCAGACAAGTTGTTATACAACATTAACGCACCGTTTCTGAAATTTATTTATTTTTTCTTCTTATATCTTAACAGATCAGGTAACTACAACCTAACCACAATCTTCATTTACCGAACGATTGTCAAAAAAATCGAGTTTCTCTGATCAATGTTTTGGAAAATAAAATTGACCAGACATAAGGTCTTTCAGAAAGTAATAGTAAGTTGATGAGTTTACGAAAAAAAAATAAAAGGAAATTATTTTCTATGTGGCCTTAATCGTATTCGATCAGGAAGTATTTCGCTTAGCAAACCTCTTTGCGTCACAACGTGTACTATTGCAATATTGTATTACACATTCGCTTCATTTCATCACGACCTTGCACATACAAGATCGGACTATACTTCCGACAAAATAGTGCGTCATTATTTTTATAAAATTATAATTATAAAGTTACCTACAAGCTATAACCCACGTAGTTTGTAATTTAAATAGTGACTTTAAAAAGTAATTTTTAGTCTGTAAACCTTTTTGGAAATAAGAACAGATTACCAAAATATCATTGTTGCTTTGAGTTCAATTTATACAAGTAAACAGAAGTGGACAAAGCAGTGAAAGTATTCTTATCTAGTGATACAACGTTTAGATTTAGGTCACAAGAGTTACGTAATAGACTTTAGACGAAAATATAGGTCCGCGCGGCGCCTCAGCGTCTCTACCGTACCGAGCATCTTGTATTGATCCTTCCAAAACTATTACACTATTATTTCGATGGCTGGCAATCCACAAACGTGCGGTTTGCGCGAAACTTCCTGCCTCGTACAGCAGCGTTGTGGAATGGTCTGTCCTTGGCGGTATTTCCAAACCGCTACGACTTACGGTCCTACAAGAAGCGAGCTTATCACCACCTTAAAGGCCGGCAACGAATCTGCGGTTCCTCTGGTATTGCTGATGTCCATGGGCGTCGTTGAACACCTCGGTGTTCCCGCTGCTCGTTTCCCCCTTCTGTTCAAAGAACAAGCAAGAAGCAAAGTTTAAAAATAGCAACTTTAGTTCAAAAATGATTAATATGAGCAATATTGCTTTAAATACTACCTACCGTCGGGTTCCAAGACCAAAATCTCTATAAAACATATCGTCATCCTTGTTATCTTTGGCAAAGATAACAATGAGTTTTAAACGAGGACTTAAGTCTCAGAAACCAACTATTAATTATTATTGCCCGTTAAGAGCAAAAATTGGTGATAGTGTAAGTATATGTTTTAGTTGAAGCTGTTTAAATGTACATAGCGTAGTATATAAATGATATACGATTGTATATATGTTTATATCCTTGTGTCTAGAATGAGTTATCGGATGTATTGAAGTAGTAATTGTGTTATTGTTTGTTCTACGTGCATTGGAATTAAAACATTGAATGATTTTCAATTATTGTAAATAGAAAAGCAATGACGATTGACGACCTAGCTATGTCCTATGTATCATATAATCTGATCAGAGGTTCACACTAATCTTACTAATATTAAAAATGCGAATGTTTGCATGGATGGATCTTTGTTTGAAGGTATCTCCAGAACCTACATGGATCTCACTGAAATTTGGTATAAATGTTTCACATAGTCTAGACGATTACATAGGCTACTAATTATTTTTTTTTAATTAGGACGGAGTCGCGAGCGATAGCTA